TCCTACGTGATCCAGCAATCAATCACACTACTAGGTGTTTACCCAGTTGAACTGAAAGTCTACATTGACACAAAAACCTGCATGCAAATATTTAATAGTTCCTTTATTCATAATTACCCAAAACTGGAAACAACCAAGCTGTCCTTTAAAATTGGAATAGATAAACAAATTGTGGTATATCTATACAATGAAATATTAGTCTGCAGTAAAAGGATAGAGACTATCAAGCCATGAAAGGACATGAAAGAAACTTGGTTAAACAAGCTGATGTGAAAAGGCTGCCTGCTGTAGGATTCCAATAATACACTCTGAGAAAATGATCATTGGCATGATCATAATATGACCATTGGCTATCAGTGGCTCAAGGAGGGAAAAGGGAAGGAAAAACAAGTGAAATGAGGACTTTAGGGCCATAATATTGACCTGCATTATACTGTTATTGTGGATACAAAATCGTATGCGTTTGTCAAATCCCACTGAACAGTACAGGACACCGAGCGGGAATTAAGGCATGCCAATTTTTAAAAATTCATTTAAGAGATTGGAGAATTCCCAGGAAATGCAGATATGACATTACAAATGTATGAAACAACTTCACTGAAGGGAATTAGGGGGGAAAGGTGCTGCTCTAAGTCCCTTTGGAAATCAGAGGAGTCTATACCAGTAAGGCAGTGGGAATTGCACATGAGCAACTGATAAAAAGTGTCCCATGGGAGTATGGCAAACCCCATACTGCTCCATATGTATCCTGGAAGGGAACAATTAAGAAATAAATGGCACATGGTGGAAGCCAGGTCACTTATTATTTATTTACACCTTGAAGGTATTATCTACGACATATAAAATAGTATTAGTTTCACATCATTTCATGAACAATTTGGATTTCGGGGGGAAGGGACTAATCCAAAATGCTGGAAACATTTTCAGATTACAACTTTTAAGAAATGTCTAGCTTCTGAAGTGACTGTTTGATTTGTCTTAGATTCTGTTCCATGGTCTGTAGGAACTGTATGTGTGTCAGAGCAGCTTATTATAAATACCTAGAGCAAAGGAAACATGTTATTTAGAAAACAACATTTAAAAATAGAACATTAACTGCTCCTGTGTGATGTCAAAAAGTGAAGAGAGAAAGTAGGTTGAGAAGTGGAAAATTCTTATTTTGTTTGGAATACTACTAAATACCTGGATGTTTCCAAATAGTCACAGTTTTAGTACAAGATAGAGCATCTGGATATTTGAATTTTTCTCTTTTCAGCTTATAATGTTGATATGGTATGGACTTGGCAGAATTTCAAAGTTAAATTATTTCCAAATGCTTTTAACAGCATTTTTTAAACAGCATTTAATTAAAAAATAAAATCTCATTCAACACCACCCTCTCCACCTCCTTTTATATATCCTACTTTTCATATCTGCAGGAAATAGGGGGAAAGGGCCAAAAAAGAATACTTGTACTTCCCTTCAGATCACTAGAAGGCCTAATGACTACATACACAGAACTTGGACTTCAGACACACTGTTAACTTGCCTCCACACACAGGCAAATAATTTGCCACAGATTGAAATATTGCTCTATTCAAATCAACTTCCTGCCTATTAATAGCTGTGAAACTCTAGAACGTATTACCATACCAGTAAAGCCTTCTGCCTCCTTGAATCTTTTTTAAATGAGGCAACACACAAATAGATACAGTTTCATACATACATAACATTGCAGAATCTCCTTGAAGAATTTGAAGAGCAAAATCAACAGTCTGAATTGATTTGAAGATAGAAGTAAGGACCAAGTGAAAATCTAATGGCCCTTCGTATGCCAAGATTCCGTCTTTCTACTTGTCTGATTTATGTCCACGCTCCTTCATTGCCTTGGCACTGATCACAGCAGCAGTATTTCCTGGAGTCACTTATTTACATGATAATTTTCTGCTTACCTCTGGCATCTCCTTGCTCTTGCTGCACCTCCACCTGCACAAATATACAGAGACACATGGACAAATGGCTGCAAATACTTAGGGATTTGCAGTGCAAAGGAAATGAGCATCACATAACTTCCTCCTTCTGCCCCTCCTTCCCTCCCTCCCTGCCTCCTTTTCTCTCTCTTTCTTTCTCTCTCTCTCTCTTCTTTCTCTCTCCCACCTCCCTTTCCTTCTCTCTCTTTTATGTTGTGTGATCCAATCATCATTCTATATAATTAGGCCAATAAAAAGCTTTCTTTGTTTTGACTTGATTTGCTGTTCTTTTTCGATTTATGATGTGCCTAGCTCCAAGGAAAAGCATGGTACCTTTGGGCAGCATCTGATTCATCAGGAAATTCCTTCTGCCACAACATGTGGGTGGGGAGAACATTTGGTGATGGGATCCAGATGCACAGGCTGCCCTTGGCCAGGAATGCAGCTGTATTTTATATGCACGTGCCCAGATGGTGACCCCTCTGGCATTATTAATGTGTCCCAGCTGCCAGGCCTCCTCATTTGCAAGCATGCACCTCGATTTCACAGATTTCGTGTATTTATTTATGAGGCACCAAATTCCTACATTTCATATGTGGCAGTTGCTATTAAAATGAGAAGTTTGAACTGCTCTGGAAATTGATAAAGAATCTTCTAAATTGATACGAAATGTGGCCCTCGTTTCAAAATGACCTCTACAATTAGTGAATTCGTAATGCACATTTCTAACCTTGCCCGGTGCATGTTGAGAAAATATGGCACTGGGTTTACACTTTAAAGATAATTAAGAAATTACACAGTTGCATTCCTGCTATGATGATTTTTTGCTTTTCTTTTATTTCTGATCTCTCAGGCCTATTTTTTAAAAGTAGCATGTCTATATATTTGAACATGGTTATTCACTGCTAATTAAACCCAAGCATCGAGTAAGAGAAATTTGAGATCTTCTAGAAATGGGTTGATTCACAAGGAGAGCTAGTATTATAAAAATATAACCCAATCATTACTCCAAAGTATTATAGATGATAATAATTCCATGGACTTGAGGAAATATATTAGTCTAACCTGTTCTGGCTTATGAGGTAAAGTATAAAATATAGAGGTATGGTAGTTTTGCTGAATTAAAATGAACTGAATCATTATTCTTTAAAAATTCAGCATTTTTATGGGGGAAATGTAAAAATGATCAAATTGTTTTTTTTTTCAAATTTTTTAATTCTAGTTAGTTAACATACAGTGAAATATTGGTTTCCAATATAGAATTCAGTGACTCATCACCTACATATAACACCCAGAGCTCAAGACAAATCGAACTGTTAAGACAGAAAGATGAAAAATGCAAAAGGTAGATGATCAGATTTTGAAAGACGGAAATCATGTCCATTTCCTTTTTCAATATCAGAAGTAATAAACTAAAAAAGCCAGAAAACATGTCATTTATCATAGATAACTATCTCCAAAATCAGCTATAGGAAGTAAATGACCCAAACACTTGTGTGATTTTCTTTAAGGGCACCTCCCACGTTTACTATCAATAGCAGAGGGTCACGTTGGCTACTGCTGAGTGCTAAAGTATAGCGAGTCTTACTTAGTATGTAGTTTCTGGCCCTCAGGAACAGTATTCCACTTCCTTTTTTTTTTTAAGATTTTATGTATTTATTTGACAGAGAGATAGAAAGAGAGCACAAGCAGGCAGAGTGGCAAGCAGAGGGAGAGGAAGAAGTAGACTCCCCTCTGAGCTAGGAGCCCAATGTAGGACTCGATCCTAGGACCCTGGGATCATGACCTGAGCGGAAGGCAGACACTTAACCGACTGAGCCACCCAGGTGCCCCAGTATTCTACTTCCTTAAGCAAAGCCTGTCTGTCCTATTTAGAGAGATATTTATCTTGATTTCCTAAATAAAGCTGCTAAATCATGGATTCATTATAACCATACTCACAAGGTAGGATGGAAAATTAAAGCCCCGGGCTCAGAATTCACCTCAGCAGAACATTGCCTAGTGCCCACCAATGAACGTCCCACCTGAGACAAACTGTCTTTGCCATCCCCCTCTTACATTGGTGTTGAGCAGATCATAGGTGGTTAGTGTGCATGTGATCAAACATAAAAGATCAGAGGTTATGGCTGTTGTTTAAGCCTTTCTGCTTTTCCCAGGAGAGGTGATAGCTGGTATCGGGCCTGATCTAAAGAATGCGGCTGTCAGTGTGGTAATGGTATCAAGCTGACCCACAAGCCAGCAGCTCAGTCCCTCCTGCTTCTGCCATATGGGATTGGGGCCAGGCAACTTAACCCTCTAAGGTCACTCACACTCGGGTCAGTGGTATAGGCCACACGGAGTTACACACAGATGAACAGGAAAGAGTTTGCTTCACATCTTGGCTTGCCTGGAAAAGCCACCAGTACCTAAAAAGGCAAAACAAGAAACAAAAAGATGGGCTTCATCTCGAGTAGTCAGGGGGTGAGGGGATCCCACAGATGGGACACAAAGGTTAACCCTACACAATGCACTGGGGCAGCAGACAAAAGCAGTCCCAGGAGCTGCTGTGACGTCACTTCCTCCTTTGCCATCACTGTGCATTTGTACATGTGCTCGTGATAGGAAAAACAGTTGCTTGGCTCCATGTTATTACATACGGTTTCCAGAACACTTTCCTATCAGTGATAGTCTGAGCCTCCCTCAGTCAGCACAGGCAAACAGGACAGGCATTATTACCCCCAATTTTACAACACAAATGAGGCTCATTTGTCCAAAGTCATGTAGCTTTTGAAGCCCAAAGTTGCTTTTGTCTGAAATACCCAGGCAAAAAGATGTAAAAGAAAATGATTATTTGGGGTTCTTTCCCATTTGAATTTTCAGATGACCAAACCAAGTCCCTCAAAACTTTGCATGTACAGATGAGCTTACAGCTAGATGGGGAGCCAGTTGCATGTTACAGACAGGGTTATAGAGGTGATTCCCCCCAGAGTACCTTCTGAATCATTTACTAGTGGACTTGTCATTCTGGGTCTTCAGTCATTGAAAGAGACTTTCTGTTCATTTTTCTGACAGCTGGTGACACTGTTGCAGATGTGGGTTGTCCCTCTCTACTTCACGATAAAACTCTACTGGTGGCGGTTTCTGTCTCTGTGGGGAATGTTCTCGGTTATTACCAGTTACATCCTCTTCAGAGCTACCCGAAAACCCCTCTCGGGGAGAACACCACGGTATGTATTCCCTTCATTCCTTCCCTGACATCCTCCTTACTGTAACCACTAAGAAGTATACTTTAATTCCATTTTTTCCTGGATGGGGAAGGAAAGCATTACACTTCTTTTGCCTTCAGTAACCAAACTATTTACAGATTAGCTGTACTGCTGTACATGTTCATTATTTAATGGCGATTTGGACATACCTATAACATTTATTGCTTCAGATGAAAGCCAGAAGAAAGAAAAGTGAAAGTTTAAACTTTCTAGAGCACCATTTTCATCTTTATTTTTAGCTCAGCATTTTGTTTGACTCCATTGTAAGTTGGGTTACACATATTTTATAATAGAACAAGAGTTCGATGTTGGCACTTCTAACAACTATGTATGTATTTTATGTCAGACAAATCATAAGCAATGGACAACTTACTCCTCTCATAACAAATGAGGCTTTCATATTCCAATGATCATCTTAATTACCATGGCCAACCTCTTGACATTTCTATAATTCCCATCATATCATCTGCAAATCTTTCAAAAGTGCTTTTAACCTCATAATGCGCCCCCAAGTTTGCTTTTGCTCTCTTTGTTCTCTAGATAAAATCTGAATCTGAGTCTAGATAAAATTGAAATGGGATAAGGAAAAAATGTGTAATAAGGCAATGTCAAATTTTGATCTTTGTTGAATAAATCCTCAGCTCCTGTGGAATGTTCTTAAGATTGTTTAGCCATTCAGATGTTTGTTCTTAATCCTCTAAAAAAGTGGGAGAGACGAATACCAACTTTTCCTTCTACTTTGGAGAAGAAAAAATATGTGGTGAGAAAAATCAGATAAATAAATGTAATGATAAAGATGAATCTTTGAAGGCCTCTTGGCTGGCTCAACCAGAAGAGCATGTGACTCTTGATCTCAGGGTCATGAGTTCAAGCCCCATGTTTGGATGCACAGACTGCTTTAAAAAATAAATAATTTTTTAAAAAGTTTGACATTCAAATAAGTAAATTCAGGTTGATGTCTAACTTAATCCCACTTTGGGAAGAGCTTTGGGGTGGTGTTAGGAGACCTCCCAAACTGGGGAGCTTGGGGTTTGTGACAGCCTTTGCATGGCCTGACTTGCCCATCAGCACATGGACATATGGCACAATTTCTCCTTAAAAAAATATTGCCAGTTATTTAAGACTTGTGAAAGTGATCCAAATTTTGGATGAACCAAAATGTACTTGTTTCCACTCCCTGGATATAATCTATATTGTATTTCAGTGAGACTAGTTCACTTCTCCAGTATAGAATGAATCAACGTAGTTAGACACAGTATTTCTGTGCACGTTAGCTCGTTCATTGCAGAGGAACTTCATGACAAAGAATATGCAAATGCTACCTCATTATACTCCATGCCTCATTTGTCTCAGATGGCCAGGGATCTGTGCCCACTGCACACCCATTTCAGCTTCTCCTGCCTCCACACTCAGAGCCCTGGCAGACAGAGCTTGACAGCCAACAAGGCCTCACTACCATTTAAGGAAATACCTAGCCACCATTTGAAGAGAGGACAATGGGAGAGGCTAATTAGGATCCCATTAACTCCTAGAAAAGCAGCCTAGAAAAAGAAGTTCCTGTTTTTGAGAGGTAGGAGGCCCTAAAGATCTTTATGGATCTTTGTTTAATCATCATGTCATAGGTAAATCACTTCTTAGCCATATTCCATTTGGAAACAGGATTTCATTACAGACTGGGAAAACTGGTCAGAGCAAGTCAGCAAGGTGCAAAGGCAAACCCAAGGGGAGGGGTCCCCTGCCCCGACACCATTTAGAACCAGCTGTTCCTCCCCCAGAATATACCAAGCCCTGACCAGAGTAAGAGAAAGGAAAGGGAGTTTCCTCTCTACTGCAGTAGAGTTCAGGCTCAAAAACAGGCCACAAACGGGCCAACAGAGCCAGGCTTGGCCACATCTGTCTTTGTGGAGGCCGCACGAGTCCTACTCTGGTTTCTCTGCCTTCCAGTTGTAATCTAAGTAACAAGGGAGTTCTGGACTCTAGCATTCTAGAAACATGTATCCCCAATAAGCAGGAAGAATTGGGGGTGGGGGATTTGGAAAAATCTAACACATCTGTAATAATTATATGACATATTGAGTATTGAATGTGCCGAGGCTTCTGAACATTGTCCCACATAATCTTCAAGACTACCACAGGATCGAGTGTGGTCACCCCCACTTTATAAATGGGGCACTCCCAGGAAGAAATGCCAGAGTAAGATGGCCAGAGTCCCACAGGCAGTGACGGGGAAGGGGAGCCCAGAATCATACCAAGGACAAGCAGCATGCAAAACCCCTCCTCCCACCAGCATGCTGTCCCTTCAGGACATCAACAAATCGCTTAGCAGAGAAACCCCAAAGTTTAAAGAGTCCGGAACACCTGTGGTGCTGGCACAACCTTGAGGGGCCCATCTCAAGTACATCGAGTTGGAGTACACCTGGAGTTCTAGGACCCCCACTCTGGTGCTGGCAGGTGCTGTGAGGGCATACAGGGAGGCCCTCTCAGAACTGGCCGCTCTCCCCACCGTCACCCCTTTTAGCAACACCAGACTTTAGCCTCCACCGGACTGCCCTGAGCAATGATCAAAACTGCTAGGTACTGGCAAATCAAACGGATCAAAAGACCAAGGAGTCACTTTGGCAGAAAGACCCCCCTCAAAGCCCTCGCTGACCATTTTAGAGATGACAAAGGCTCAGAGCAACTTGACCCACCTTGTGCAGTCCTGTTAGAGTTTCTGGCTCCATGGAATTCCCCACGGGCGACCACCCCCATGGGTGGATTAAAGCTGCAGGAGGAGGCATGGCCCACATAGCCCGGCCCTTCATTCTGAAATGATGTAAATGGTAGCGCTATTTTTAACTACTTGAGGAAACTCCGCACTGTTTTCCAGAGTGGCATGTGCCATCAACAGTGTAAGAGGGTTCCCCTTTCTCCACTCCAGTATTTCATCTACTCCAACAGCAATCCTCTCAAACATTTGTTGTTCCCTGTTTTGTTAATTTTTGCTATTCTAACTGGTGGAAGGTGGTATCTCATTTTGGTTTTGATTTGTATTTCCCTGATGGCTAGCGAGGTTGAGTACTTTTTCATGTGTCTGCTAGCCCTTTGTTTGTCTTCTCTGGAGAAGTGTCTGTTCATGTCTTCTGCCCATTTTTTTACTTGATTATTTGTTTCTTGACTTTTGAGTTTGAGGAGTTCTTTATAGAACTTGGATACTAGCCCTTTATCTGTAATGTCATTTGCAAAAATCTTCTCTCTTTCTGTAGGTTGCTTCTTAGTTTTGTTGACTGTCTCCTTTGCTGTGCAGAAACGTTTTATCTTGATGAAGTCCCAAAAGGTCATTTTTGCTTTTGTTTCCCTTGCCTTTGAGGAGACGTATCTTGAAAGAGTTTGCTGTGGCTGATGTCAAAGAGGTTACCACCTATGTTCTCTTCCAGGATTTTGATGGATTCCTGTCTCACATTGAGGTCTTTCATCATTTTGAGTTTATCTTCGTGTGTGGTGTAAGAGAATGGTCGCGTTTCATTCTTCTATATATGGCTGTCCAGATTTTCCCACACCATCTATTGAAGGGACTGTCTTTTTTCCGTTGGATAGTCTTTCCTGCTTTGTCAAATTTTAGTTGCCCACAGAGCTGAAGGTCCATTTCTGGGCTCTCTATTCTGTTCCATTGATCTATGTGTCTGTTTTTGTACAAGACAGTATGTACTATACTGTCTTGGTTATCACAGTTTTGAAATATAGCTTGAAGTCAGGCAACATGCTACCCCCAGCTTTATTTTTCTTTTTCAACCTTCCCTTGGCAATTCGGGTTCTTTTCTGGTTCCATATAAATTTTAGGATTGTTTGTTCCAGTTCCTTGAAAAATGCCAATGGTATTTTAATAGGGATGGCATTCAAAGTGTAGATTTCTCTGGGTAGGATAGAAATTTTAAAAGTGTTTATTCTTCCAATCCATGAGCATGGAATGCTTTTCCATCTTTTTTCATCTTCCTCAATTTCTTTCAAATAGAGCTACGATACGACCTAGCAATTTCACTACTGGGTATTTACCCCAAAGATACAAATGTAGTGAAAAGAAGGGCCACATGCACCCCAATGTTCACAACAGCAATGTCCACAACAGCCAAACTGTGGAGGGTGCCGAGATGCCCTTCAACAGATGTATGGATAAAGATGTGGTCCATATATACAATGGAATATTCCTCAGCCATCAGAAAGGATGAATACCCACCATTTGCATCGACGTGGATGGAATGGAAGGCAATTATGCTGAGTGAAATAGGTCAAGCAGAGAAAGACAATTATCATATGGTTTCACTTATATGTGGAACATAAGGAATAGCATGGAGGACCTTGGGGGAAGGAAGGGAAAACTGAAGGGGGGGAAATCGGTGGTATGGGAGATAAACAATGAGAGACTATGGACTCCAGGAAACAAACTGAGGGTTTCAGAGGGTAGGGGAGTGGGGGGATAGCTAACTGGGTGATCAGTATTAAGAAGGGCATGTGTTATAATGAGCACTGGGTATTATATGCAGATAATCATTGAACAGTACATCAAAAGCTAATGATGTGCTGTATGGTGACTAACATAACATAATTAAAAAAAAAAAAAGAAATTATGTAAATGACAACTTGTGTCTCAAGCCAGCCCACCAACCCCATGTAAAGCGTCATGCTTCAGAAGGTCCTCCTGACTAGAAGTCAGTAAAGCAGGACATCTTTTAAAATAACTTCGAAACACTGCATCAGTAATATCATAGAACTTAAGCATTAGGAGCAATGGCTCCAAGAGAGAGGAAGCTGGGGGAGGTAAGAGAGTTGGAGGCAGGGTTCCAGGGGCTGAAGGTAAGACAGCATGGTAGTCTCTGGAGTGTGATTCTCCACTCATTCTCCACTCATTCTAACAGTGAAGAGCACTGTTAAAGGCAGGAACAGGGGCTTCTGAGAACCAGAGGGACAAGCTGAGAGGCAAACAAGGCCTCCTACTTGGGAGCAACTGTCCAGCCACCTGCTTCTTTAATCTGGGACCCAAGGACAGCACCCAGCTGCCCCTTCTCCTTCTACCACCTCTTCTTGTTCCATTGCGCACAACCTTGCTCTGTGGTACTTGCCCAGGGGATCTGGGCTCCTGACCTCTTCCCACATCCTACCAGGCACGAAGCAGCCACGTGGCCCCCTCTGTAGTTTTTCTAAGGGATTTTACTGCCAGGGGTGTATGGGGCTCCCTGCCAGATCATCTATACCCTTCCTCTCTATCCCCATCTCCCACTTCTCCATTTCAACCCCATGGGAAGAAGGAAAGGCTTTAAGAGTGGTCAGGGTACGTGCTGGGACCTATCCACAGAGCAGGAGAAAACCAGCCCGAGGCTCGCTTGTGATTCCATCCCAGGGCTAGGGGAGGGGCTCTGTGAGTGGAGAGGACTTGGGATGAGGCTGAGCTCACTACTGATGACATCTGCCCTGGGGATGGGGGAGGGGTGGAAGGGCAGCAGGAACAGGAGTGGGGAGAAACTCCCAAGAGAGGAGGTTCCCTCCTCCTGACTTCTCTGTTCCTCTTCTGCTTACTTCCAAGCTATTCCTGCCAAAGCCACTCTAAGATAACCCTAGGGCCAAAAAAGAGAAGGGGAGGCAGTGTCCCAGACAGAGAAACCATCCCTGAAGATCACTCTTACATGAAGAATATAGATTAGTTACAATGAATTTGTATATGCGTGTGCATACTATTTATACGCTTTGTTGATATATTGAAACTGTAGATTATTTTGAGTTTAGCTGATATAATCTACTCACATATATTACATAAAAAATAAAATTCTAGAAATTAAAAACTGACTTACAAAAATGTTTGAGGAAGGTAAAATACTTTATAATATATTATGTTCTGTATTTATCCCCACTTTAACCTTCACAGATTGGTCTACAAATGGTTTCTTCTAATCTACAAACTCAGCTATGCATTTGGTGTTGTGGGTTATTTGGCTATCATTTTTACAATGTGTGGATTCAATTTACTTTTCAGGTAAGTATCTCCAATTAAGACCTTAGTACCTAATGATTAAGATTCATTAAATTAGGAGCTAACTAAATTAGGGGCCAATTGTTCATTTCATAAAGAAATATTTCCCTTAAAAATGGGGTGGGGGTAAGGTGCCTGGGTGGTTAAACGGCTACCTTCAGCTCAGTTCATGATCTCTGGGTCCTGGGCTCACTGCCTGAATTCTGGCTCCCTGCTGAGCAGGGAGCCTGCTTCTCCCTCTGCCTCTGACTCTCCCCTGCTTGTGTGTCCTTTCTTTCTCTAATACACAAAATCTTTTTTTAAAAAATGAAGTGGGGTTATCCTAGAGAATCCTATTATATTTGAAATGTGATCCAACTTGCACAGTTTCGTTTTGGGTTTTTTTTCTGACTAATATATGGCAACAGTGGCACAGTACCAAAGAGTCTCAAAATTGGAGCTTGATCCCTGGGACCAATTGTCGTCATGTTAGGCAAATCATTTCTTCTATATCCCCATTTTTTCAAATGCAAAGTGGGGATAATCCTATCTATCTGGAGTAGCCGTTAAGTAAAGTATTTGAAAGCAGAGATTCCCAAGCCTGAGGAACTTATAAAAAGCACTGCTGGGCTGACCCACCCCAGGCCACATACATTACAGCTCCTGATCCCCAGAGTCTTAAACCTCCCCCCAGGTGACACTAATCTATATTTCAGGCTGAGAACCACAGCTCAGTTAAAGAGGTTCTTTATGTTAGCTGCCCCCTGGAATCACCTGGGGTCTGGAGAGGTTCCAAAAATATTGCTGCACAGGCCCCACCCCCAGAGAGTCAGATGTCATTGGCCTGGGGGGCCCAGATGCAGGGGGCAGATTTACAAGCCACCCAGGCCTTTCTTTGCATAGCCCAGCCTGAGAACCACTTATTAGAAGTACCTTCTCAAGAATTACTTTGTCCACTTGCCACTGAGTAATAAAATCCGAGGGGAATTTAGAGAATTTAAAATTTTGAAAGAAAGAAAGGAAGGAAGGAAGAAGAAAGAAAAGGGAGGGAAGGAAGGAAGGAAAGAAGGAATTTTAAAAAATCAATTAAAAAAAAAAAAGCTCCCAAATTTCTGTTAGATACTCTGGCAGGAAGTGTCTTCTAAGCTGGAGCCCTTCCCAAGCCCCCCGAATGCCACGTTCTTATTTGGGTTCACTGTTGTTTTCAACAGAATCAAGGCCAGAGATTCCATGGATTTTGGTATCATATCCTTATTCTATGGCCTCTACTATGGTGTGATGGGGAGAGATTTTGCAGAGATCTGTTCAGATTACATGGCTTCTACAATAGGGGTAAGTGTTGCTTTCATTCTCTGAAACCACTTGAAGAAATGGTCTCATCTTACACATCTGCATCCGTTTTCAGAAACATGTTGGTCTTTTTTTGGTTCTCCCAGGCCAAGTGCTCCCTGAATCTCCTTGCATCAAAAATTATCTTTGCTAATTGATTAGAAAATATACTTCTTACTTATGTAAAGTGGTTGGAAGTAAGGCATCTCATCTATTTATTTATTTATTTATGTTTATGTCATCTCTGCACCCAACATGGGGCTCAGACTCACAACCTTGAGATCAAGAGTCGCCTGCTGTACAGACTGGGCCAGTCAGGGACCCCCCAAAGGCCTCTTTTTAAATAAAATAATTATTTGGAAGCAACAATAAGTAGCATACTCCAACTGAAAGGATTAATAGGGATACCTGGGCGGCTCCATTGGGTAAGCATCCAACTCTTGATTTCAGCTCAGGTCATGATCTCAGAGTTATGAAATCAAGTCCCACACTGGACTCTTTGCTGGCCTTGGAGCCCACTTAAGATTCTCTATCTCCATCTCCCTCTGCCCCTCCCCCATCTCTCTAAAAAAAAAGAAAAGGATCAGTAAAAGTTCAATAATAACAAAAATCTTTCCATCTGCCTAACACAGAAAGTCATATCTGATGCACATACAGTACTTTGGAATCCATTAGTGCCTCAGGGTTACTCCTTATAAAGATCAGTTTTTACACAGCATTAGAAGAAGTAGAAGATACAAAAACTGAGCTAAATGTATCCTGACTGCATGTTGTTCTCTAGAATTAAAAATATATATATTCCTAATAGTTTTTTTTTAAACTCTCTTAAAACTCCAAATATACATACTTTCTGGTTAGATGGATTTCAGATTCAAATGTTAGGAGCATTCATCTATGTCTGACACATGCATATCTCTTAAAAACTTACAGAGGCTCCAGGTATGACCCAGTGGTTTCAAGAATTCTTGTCTCTGTCCTCTACCATTCTCTTGGTACACACCAGATATGAAGTGGAAAAGCTAGTGCAAGTGGCAAGGGAAGAGTGTAATTCAGGACCATTCTTCTCTCTCTCCATTTATGTGGCAGGACCAAGTAGACATGACCTTGACTTCATCCCCACCCCATCTACCCTTCTCCATTTCTGTATACTCTTTTCCTATAGCCTGGAATCCACTTCTGTGGTATAATGCTAGAACAAGATACCTTTGGGAATTTCTCTACCAAGCATCATCTATGGGACAACTGCCTTTTTTCTAATGTTTATGGTGAGCACAGAAGGGAACACTTCCACTCCTACTTCCTCTAGCAAAGGCCAAAAGCCGTATTCCCTAAAAATTTCCCAAAGTCTCTTGTGCTTGTCTGTGGACAGGAGACAAGGAGAAGAATTGTATGTTCTCCGTCCTCCAGTGGACCAGGAAGAAGAGATTCACCCTCATAAGACAAGTTTTTAAGCTCCAGCTTTCTAGAGACTTCTCACCTGATCCCACCTCAGAAGTCTTCAACTTTTTATCATCCTCTGTCATCTTAACTCCATCTACCAAATATATAAAACCCACTGCTTCAAGCTATCTCTTGGCACAACCAACATTGACTTGAACTGATGAGGTGTGTGTGTGTGTGTGTGTGTGTGCACGTGCATGCATGCGTGTACATGTGCTTATGACAGAGATAGGGAGGAGGGAAAGGAGGAGCAATTTCCACTCTCACACCAGTGCCTAAGCCCCTCAGCCGACTAATTAAGTCAGAATCTCTGGGAGCCGAGCCAATGCATCTGCTTCGTTTTAAAAGCTCCTCAGGAAAAGGAATGAGCTATTAAGCCATGTAAGAACATGGATGAATTGCAAATACATATTGCTAAGTGAAAGGAGGCAATGAGAAAAGGCTACATATTATATGATTCCGTTTATATGACGTTTTGGAAAGGGCACCACTATGGAGATGGTAAACAGATCAGTGGTTGCCAGGGGTTTAGCGGGGAGCAGGGTTGAATAGGTGACGTACAGGGAGTTTTTGAGGGCAGTGAAATTCTGTACGACTGTAATGGTAAATACATGACACTGTACATTTATAAAAATCAAGAGTGCTTTGTAGCAGAAAGGGTGAAACAATGTATACAAACCTAGAAAATCATTTAGGATGGGAGAGAATGCCAGGAGAGAGTGTAGACTGTGACAAAAGAATCTAACTGTATTACAAATATATGAGATAACCACAATGCAGGGAGTAGGAGAAGAAAGTGCTGACTTAAATACCTTTGAAATGAGTAGAGATCAAAGATTAAAAGCAAAGGAACCAAACATAAGTGCTGTACTCTAGTTCATAAAGTGGTTTCCCTCGAGGCTATGGGTTAACAATTCTGATATTGCTATCCATGTATTCCAGAACTGAACAAATAAGCACATGGAGGACCCATAGTGGGAGCTATGTCTCTCACTCTCAGAAGGTTACAAACAGGGACTCCTGGGTGGCTCAGTGGGTTAAAGCCTCTGCCTTCAGCTCAGATCATGATCTCAGGGTCCTGGGATGGAGCACATTGGGCTCTCTGCTCGGCAGGGAGCCTGCTTCCTCCTCTCTCTCTCTCTGCCTGCCTCTCTGCCTTCTTGTGATCTCTGTCTGTCAAATAAATGAATAAAATCTTAAAAATATGTATATAGATGGATACATACAGGGCTATCTATTGCTATGTTAAACACCATGGGTTAGTATATACAGATACATTTCCTGGCTCTGTTAGCTAAGAAGCACTAGAAGCAATGACACCCTAGTAGCAAGGAGCACACCTCGTGCCCAGATCTTTTCTTTTTTTCTTTTCTTTTTTGAAGAATTGTATTTATTTATTTGAGAGAGAAAGAGAGATAAGCAAGAAAGAGAACATGAACGAGAGGGCAGCAGGCAGAAGGAGAAGCAGGCTCCCCACTGAGCAGGAAGCCCAATGTGGGACTCGATCCCAGGACCCCGGGATCATGACCTGAGCCGAAGGCAGGTGCTCAACTGACTGAGCCACCCAGGAGCCCCGACCCCAGATCTTTTCTAATACCATTCTACAACAAAAGGAACCAGGGCTCCTTGGAGAAATGGTTGATTCTAGGTCTTGGTAGGGAACATACAAATGAGCCTAGAGTATATTGTACTGCCAGAAATTAAGCAAGGACTCAAAAAACCAACCAAACAAAAAAATACCACAATGATAAGGGTTAGTGAGAGAGATACAGAAGCCAACTGAAAAAGCTGCCAATGGCCAAAGCTGGAATAATCTGTGCAACAAAATAGCAGCAGTAGAAGTAGTAGCAGGAGCATTGGGTTATAACCCAATTCTAAAATAAATATCACGAGTCCGTATTGATATGAATAAATGAGTGGAGGAGAACAGACAAATCAAGGCTGTATGGTCAAGTTTCTTGTGTCAGCTTGGGTAGGCTAGGGTGCTCAATTGTTCGACTGAACACCCAAACACTAGTCTAGATACACACACGCCCCCTATTGTTTCCTTTTCTCTGGAGAAACCTCACTGACTGAGCACAACACCCTTCTCCTTATAAATGGGCTGCTCAGAGTGATTTTCCTCCAAAGAGTACAGAATAGGAAGGAATAAAAGAAAGAGTAGCTTTATAATGGAAAACCGTGACAAACACTGTCACAAGCCTGGTGATCAAGGTTAACAGCAATAGCGGCAAGTCCTGTTGAAAGCATGTACACGCCCTATGGTGTGATAAGAATGTCACCTCTCTTATCTACCTCTCTAAACCGCATAACATCAGTGTCTTCAAGAGAAAGACACCAGCTAAATTCCATTTGAGGGACATTCCACACAATACTTGCCAAACTGTAAAAGTCATTGAAAAAAAAAAAAATCGAAGTCTGAGAAACCACCATAATCAATAGGAGCCTAAGTGGTATCCTGGATGAGATTCTGGAATAGAATAAGGACATTAGATTAGAAGGAAAAAAAAAAAAAAAAACAGGGGCACCTGGGTGGCTCAGTTGTTAAGCATCTGCCTTCAGCTCAGGTCCTGATCCCCGGGGTCCTGGGATCAACCCCTGCATCAGGCTCCCTGCTCAGTGAGAAGTCTGCTTCTTCTTCTCCCACTCTCCCTGCTTGTGTTCCCTCTCTCTGTGTGTCTCTGTCAAATAAATAAAATCTTAAGAAAACAAAAACACAAAACCCAAGTAATCTGAATAAAATATGTATAAAGTATGTACTTTATTTCACAGTAAGTGTCAATGTTGGTTCATTGAGTGATAAGGTACCATACTAATGTAAGATGTTAAAAATAGGGGACATGATATATGGGGGCTTGCACTATTGTCACATCTTTCTAAGTTTAAAACAATTATTAAATGAATATTTATTTTTTAAAAAGAGCTTCTTAGGGATTCTGAGGGGCACCTGGGTGGCTCAGTCAGTTACGCATCCGCCTTTGGCTCAGTCCATGATCTCGGGGTCTTGGGATCGAGCCCCACATCAGGCTCCCTGCTCAGCAGAGAAGTGTTTCTCCCTCTCCTTCTCCCCATCCCCCTGCTTGTGCTCTCTCTCTTTCTCTCAAATAAATAAATAAATAAATAATCTTAAAAAAACAAGCTTCTTAGGGACTCTAATACACTGCCAATATTGGAATCGGTCTTCATCTGTAGTACTAAAAGATGCCGGAATCCCGAGTTAGAATTCTAAAAACATTGCACCCAATGGGATTAATCCATGTGTTCCTTCTTGTCACATGGGAATTTAGAAATATAGTAATGCCTCAGTTTACTCCAGACCTGTGAATCAATCTCCAGAATAAGAGAAAGGGTCAGCGTCTGGGTAACCTTAAAAAGCTTCCTTAAAAAGCTATGAACTATAGCCCTGGATAAGAGACTTTTCCCCTTGAAGGATTCACCTTGAGGAGATTAAATTGAAGGTTATAGTTAGCCGTGTGCTTTGGGTCCATGTGGGGTTCAGTGGGCTCTAGCCTGAAGACCTCAGCCCCACTGAAGCATTCCTGTGGGGAAGAGTGCTCCTAAACCAAGGAAGAAGCAGTAAGGACTCTGGGTTGCTGTGTTCAGGGAATGAATGGCATTTGCCCTCCTTTCCAACAGTGCTCTGTGCATCTCCCCCAACAGTTCTACAGCGTCAGTGGGATGCCCACAAGGAGCTTGTCAGACAATATCTGCGCCGTCTGTGGCCAGAAGATCATTGTGGAGCTTGATGAAGAAGGGCTCATTGAAAACACCTACCAGCTCTCCTGCAATCATGTGTATCCTTTTCACATGAAACCACGTGGGCTTCATCAAGCCAGTGATGGAAGGCAACTTTCATATACTCAGTGTGGGTCATGGGAGATGGCCAGTCAGGCAGCACTGTTGCCTCCTTTCCTCCTCGTTGTTCCCTCCTCCTCCCCCTCTCACCATCTCTGCCTCCCTTAGCTAGCTCCCATCCCCCAAACCCCAGGCCTTGATCCTCCTCGGCCATCTCTCTCTGTTCTGATAATCCCTGCTGAATACTCTTTTGCTCGTAATTTCCTTTTTAAAACTGAATCTCAATGCCACACGGACGAAAAAGCTGCAGTGTGTGCCTAAGACGCTGGCTGGGGAAGTTGACAAAGCTGTAAGTGAACAGATAGCCAAGAACGACCAGGGAGAGAAGGGTCTGGGTGTGAGAAAAAGTGGAGTTTCGGGTGCAGGGAGGAGCTCAGGACTAAAGCAGGTGGAGCCTGGGTCTGAATCTCACGGGACTGAGCACAACACAGTGGGCTCTGCCTAGGAATAATCCCGGGAACCTGCTTGTGTCAGCAGTGGGTGTGGAGGCAGCCCAGTATCAGGTTTGGTCTTAAAAATAGGACAACGCCATGGGTAGCAAGACACCTTCGATTATAGAAGGAGGGACCAGAGCTTGAGCACCCAGTTCTTGAACCATTGGGGTTCTCTACCTGGGAGTTCTGCCCCAAATAGCTGATGGATCTTTAGGTGTTACGACATGCCTGGGCCTGGAAACCAGCATTCTTTGGGAATTCCAGTCACTGTGGAGGAAGACCTCAATATGTGGAAAGATACTGGGATCAAGACCCCCAAACAAAGCAGCCCATGCTGTCCCAGTATAGAACTCTGAAGACCAAAGTTGTTTTGGGTTGGCGGACGATCGGTATTTTAACTCTTTTCTAAATACAAGGGGAAAGAAAGTATCATTTATCTTTATTCTATAGCACAACATCAACTTGATAATATTGCTCTACATTCAGTTCAAAGCTCTGGCATGATGAGGTGGTTAAACCATCGGTCTTTTGCCTTTGAAGCCCACCTAACTTAGTAATACCCTAGAGGCGCAGTGCCTATGATTCAGTTCTATTTAATCTGGACAGATTCCATTTATTCAATCCTGAGAGTTACAAAAATGGACTAACTTCACCTGAAATGTAATAGGACCCCTTACTCCAACCTTTAAGCCTTACTATTTTAAGATAAGAGACACAAAGATTTCCCATATGGAATTCTATGGTAGCTTTTCAGGGTGATACCTTTCCTAAAAAAAGGATCCTTCTTTGGAAGAAATTTTCCCAATCTGGCCCTGGTTTTGAATGTGATTTACTTTTCAAATGTTGGACCAGAGCCCCTTTTACCATTAGCAAGTGGAAATATTTTCTCTCTCCACCTTTAAAAGTGCTTAGGGATTGTTGTACATGTGTGCGTATGTAATCTAAAATGTAGTCACCCTTAAATTTGCTTTGCAGCGAGTATTATTAATGGCCCACTTTAGCATGAGTCATATGAGCAAGAAGTGGGCAAACATGACTCACATGAACAAGGTGGGGCAGGGGAAGGAGTCTATCGCTCTACAGCAATTCTGCTAGCTTGGAGACTTTTCAGTAATGGAATTTTGAAGATGAGACAGAGAGTATTAAGGAGGAGGTAGCCATTTCAATGCTGTCTCCATGATCCCTGACCTTTGTACCTATCTAGAAGATGGGGCCGTACTCCAGTGCTTTGAATAAAGGGCTGTAAGGGCTTTGGGTTTAAAATTTTTGTTACAATACACCACTTTATGTTAATCCAAGCCTATTGCAAAAATGACCCAATTCCAAGAACATAAATAGTGGAAATTCTTAGTTGCATACAGATCTATACTGAGGAGTTTTACACATGGCCTCAACTTGTCTATATTTCACTGCTCTCCATTTTTTAGGGAGGAGACTTCCACATCATTGCTGTTCAAATGGGTGACAGCAGGCTAGTCAGAAAATCATGGGATCTGGTTCCAGAAAGCCACGTTGGAATCAACAGCTGTAGAAATAAGCCTCTAGGATGGATCTCGTAACTGTTCCTCACTTTGCTCAGATCTACAATGTTGTGGAACCCAAGAGAATATATTTGCAAAAGTAATTGGTTTTGAGTGATTCATTCAAATATTTATTTCATCATTAGGCCTTTAGGCACTGCTTAAGGTACTGAAGACAGAGAATGAGACATGGTCCCACAGCTAGCAGGTGGGCCAGGAGAGACCTGCATGCGCACAGAATGTCATGACACAATGTGATATGAACTCTGACAAGAGCATTCCCCTGATGCGGTGGGAGAACATCAGATGCGCTCTCAACTTTAGGGGCAAAGGGTCAAACTCTCCAGACCAAGAGATATGTACTAATGAATCTGTCAATGCCTGGAGTTTCAGAATTTTATTAGGTTTATAGTCTATTAAAAATAAGTGTCTCCTTATCAGTAATAAAAAAACTTGAGATAGGAGATATGAGGCTAATAGAAATATCCATAAGTTGGCGGTTTATGACTACAAATAACTGAAGCTTGTCTAAGTGTCTAAGACTAGTCTGATTACATAGTAGGTCATGAGCAATGCACAGAAAGTGGAATAGGGAAATACTATGGGGAATGCATGAGAAGCACACAATCAGCCAAGGCAGAGAATTGCCCTGATACATTTACATAAAATATGCACATAAATTTACATAAAAATACTGTTTAAAAAGCACTTTCATATTTACATAAAATACATAAAATATTACTGCAAAAAAGAATTTTCATATTCTTTATCTACTTTAAATCTTGGGAGGATCAAGTGAAGCAAGAAGAATAAATAAAGCCAAGGAGCTGTGGAAACTCCTCAGGGTCCTAGAGCTATGGCAGCTCTGACTGCCAGCTCCCAGTCCTTGGGGGTTCCATTGCCCTGTACAATCTTCCTTAGATGGTGATGTGCACAGTCAGGTCATGACTGACAGCCATTCTCACCCTCTACTTCCTCCCTGCAGATGGGGTCATTTCCATTATGTCATCATGAAGCAGACCTTGCCCTTCAATATCTAGAAACTTCCTTAACAAGATGCCTAAGCTTTCACGAATTCTGCATCCGAGGCTGGTGTATAGTTGGTAAAAAGCAGACTTGCCCTTACTGCAAAGAGAAGGTTGATTTGAGGAGGATGATCAGTAACCCGTATCCTTTCTCTAAAAAGTTGTCAAGTGTTTCTTAAATGTTTCTGGTAATGCAGACTTCAACCTGAATTTTCATTTTCTTCATTACAGTTTTAGCAGAAAAATTTGTTTTCCTTAGCCAATTATTTCAAAACGACCCCGTGGTCTCTTTTCTACGCTGGGCCCATGTTACGACTCTGGCTAGGAACTTAAATGCCAAAAAACAAACATTCTACTCTTCATATTCCACTATAAGCGCTTTAGTGGAAATGTGATGGGATATTGCCAGAGTTAGGTAAATATGGAAGGATTAGAGAGGTGATAAATATATAAATCGATGATGGTTGGATGGATGGATGGATGGATGGGTGGACACATGGGTAGCTAGGCAGATAGATGGATGACGGATGGGGTGAGTGAGTGGGTAGACAAACATATAGACTGGAATAGAAGTGAAATTTTTAAAAGATTTTATTTACTTATTCATTTGAGAGAGAGAGAGCACAGGGTGGGGAGATTTTGAGGGGGAGGAGCAGGGAAGAGAGGGAGAAGCAGGGAAGAGAGGGAGAAGCAGACTCCCCACTGAGCAGGGAGCTCCAGGTGGGGTTCAACCCCAGGACCCCCGGGTCATGACCTGCACCAAAGACAGATGCATAATCACCTGAGCCACCCAGGTGCCCCCAGAATAGAAAGTTTAAAAGCCCCAAATGTGAACTAGAGTATAAAAAATAAATTTTAAGTTGTACTAAATTTTATTATTTCCAGAGAGAATTTTTTTTACCCCCTGTATTTTGGCCTTTAAAGTCCTTGCCGTGTCTCATCTTGTCTTGGGCTTAACTCTAGGGATAATAGTACTGAAAGAAAATGAGGACCTACAGACAGCTTATGGCAACAATCAGGATATTTATAGATACCAATGTTCTCCAACTGAGACCATGGGAAGCCTCAATGGCTCCATCCAGAGCTGATTACAAAGACTTAGTCCTCAACCCCACTGGCCCAAGACCATAATCTTTCTCTTCCAGGGGCGGGGGTGGTGGTAAATGGGATTAAAACATATCCTGACCTTAAGCAGAAAACACTGAGAGGTTGGCATCAACCTACCAAGTACTCTCTCTTCTCCTAAGGGACAGCCAGCCTTTCTATACATCCTGTGTACCGGTTAGCCACATTTTACCATGCTAAAGGAGTTCCCTCCCTTGTTTCCCATTCCCCTACTCTTCACCAGCCCTAAATATTCAGATGTAGCAATGGCTGTTGGCAGCAATGCTCCCATCCCTGAGAACGGCAGACCAAGGAAAGAGTTGCCATTAGGGCAGGAGAGGAAGCAACACCATGGGTGTCTTAGGTCCTGGGCAGCAGAGAGCACCTCTGTGGGCCCCCAGCTCCATCTACAGGCCTGAGCTTTCTCGGGGAGTCAGTGCAATTCAAGCACAACCACACTCACGGCCTGTGATGCTTCTCCCTCCTTCTCATGCACTCTCCCTGAAGTTCCCTTCTAATAGGGGGATACCGCGTCCAGAACCACTTTTGGTTAATCCCTTATGAAACAAAACTATATGTGTCTTTGTTATAAAATTGGTGATAATATCATCCTAAATGTCACCTTAAATGATCACGTAAATAACAAAGGACAACGGGTTACTCTATATTGTCCTGAGAGCATAAGCTTTTGAATAATACATGTATTCTTTTTACTGAGACTCAGTAAAAAAAGAAAAAAAAAAGCTATTTGGGGAATATTTGTCTATGGGCACAACATTGCTATCAGAGATATTATGTATTAATTATATCCCCTTAGCAGAATTTATCAAAGGAATCTGGGAAAAGTCTATCTGATCTGTGATGTTTTTCTTTGGAATACACAATGCATTCCCTCTGATGAGCCAATTACAGCAAAGCCCAACAGTGTCTTGGCTCACTTACAAACGCTTCCATGATCCTTGGTTTTCCAGGGTAGTCATTTCCCTTTCCTGCCCTCTTTTAGTAGTGACCCTTGCCTTTAGTTCTTGTTTCAGAGTCTGGGATTTTATTGTAAGCCATTTTTATTTGTTTTTGGAAATTCGGTGTCATGTAAATAACAATGATGACCAAATGCTGTAAAAATCACGGAAGGGGCTTTTCAGTGGGCACATAGAATTAACAAGAAAGGAGATACCCAGTTGCTGCATTGTTTATTATATTTGCAAATGAGATTTATGAATATTTCTGCTACCTGACTGCCCAGAGAGCAACCTCCTTAACTGAGAATTAGCTGGGAGCGCACACACTTTCTCTATGGACAAATCCTTGATTGGCTTCGTTATTTGGTGGCCTGGCAACCCGTGGTGATTGGAATAGTTCAAGGCATTAATTACTCCCTAGGACTGGAATAGTACAGCACACCTACTCCAGAGACAGCTTGCGGCATGTTGAAATATTCTTAAATCCTTGATCCTATCTTTATTATTGATACTCCTTTTTCAATTTCAGAGATGAGCCCAAGAGTTTAGAGAAATGAATAAAAGGGCCCTCCAAAAGGCAATCTGTCTATGTGGAAAGAATTTAAAAGAGAAGCTGAATGTCAAAAGTTCAGAGGAAAACAGAAGTAAAGCCAATGAATCAATAAAGTAGTCATCAGTAAAAGTTTATTGTGCACACAGCAAAAAGATCGTTTGCAAACCAGGGCACTCAGACCAAAACACAGAACGAAGCTCAGGGGTATATGTGAGGCAACAGCTTACATAGTGCGGAGACAGGGACTACACAGGGACTACAATTCTTCACAGAGATTGGTTAAAATATTTGAATTTTCTTAAACGAAAGGGAAGTGGTTATTGACGACCTCATATCAATTTTAGGAAAACAATTTAAGTTTTGCTTATGATCTTCAGAGGCCTAAGCAAAGAAGTATCCGGGTCAGTTAGCCTCACTTGTCTTGCAAGATAAGCTACATCAAGCTTTGCTTGTAAGACTAAACTGGTTCTGGGGTACCTAGGTTGCTCCGTCAGTTAAGCATCTGCCTTTGAGTCATGGTCTTAGGATCCTAGGATCGAGCCCCGAGTTGGACTCCTCACTCTGGGAGTCTGCTTCTCCCTCTGCCTCTCCCCACTGGCTTGTGCTCTATCTCGCTCACTCTCTCTCTCAAATGAGTAAGTAAAACTGTAAAACAACAACAACAAAACAAAACAAAACAAAAAAAACTGGTTTTGTCTGCTCAGGGAATTTCAAGTCTGGTCTCTGTTTGTGTTTGATTTTAATATGAACAACAACATAAACAAATACAGCCTACTTTGCATCTTTCCCACCGTGATCATTTTCTAATCCATGCAACACATTTGTTACAACCCACCCTGGTTGTAACCAACCTCTAATTTGGCTGATAATGTACTTCTTTTTTTTTTTTTTTAAGATTTTATTTATTTGACAGAGATCACAAGTAGGCAGAGCAGAAGGCAGAGAGAGGGGGGAAGCAGGCTCCCTGCTGAGCCAAGAACACAATGTGGGGCTCGATCCCAGGACCCTGAGATCATGATCTGAGCCGAAGGCAGAGGCTTAACCCACTGAGCCACCCTGGTGCCCCTGATAATGTACTTCTTACATACAGCCTTTAGTGATAGCTAATATCTTCTGACGAGTTCAACGTCTTCAAAGAAGGAGGCAGAGTTGTTACATAATCTACAGTTTAACAATATGGTCTTCCTGCTCTGTGTGCTTGTCACCACGTGGCAGCATCAGCCAGAAAGCCCTTTGGCATAGAGGGTTTTATTCCGGAAATGTCTAGCATTAGGGACCACAGCCCGTTCAACAGGCCAGAGGTCCACTGTTTCCTGGGCCTGCCAAATGCACCTGACCCATCCAAGGGCTGCACTAAATGGGAGGAAAACCACTCTCTTCCGTTGTGTTCTGGTTTTATTTTCTTCATAGCCCTTCTCAGTACCTGAAATCATTATGATACATTTGTTTATTTTTTTACTGTGTGTCTTCCCCTCTGTGAAGGCAGAGAATTTTATAGATCTAGTTCCCTATTGTATCTCCAGCACTTGGAGTAGTGCCTGGCATCTAGTAGGCACTCAATAAATATTTGTTTAAAGAATGAATTAATCCCACAGGAGGGGACAGAATTAACGGAATAGGAAAGAACAGTCAGAAAGAATTAACTCAAGCAATACATTGGCCTCCCAAATGTATTTGTTTTAAATTGCTGGTGAGTTCTTAAAGGGCCACCACTGTATACCTAATATCAGACATCTATTATGCATACCTGGAGACATTACATTTCTATGAAGTAGAAAGGAAATACACCAATTGTCAAAAACATAGGCAATATACTTAATGCTCTTTGAAGTCCCATCACAGCTATAATGAAGATAACTCATGCTAAGATTTTTACGTGTTGGTCATTTTCCTTTTTGAAACCGCCGCGTTTCAGTATTATGATGGATTCAACCAGGTTATTGGATTTAACTCTGGTTTATTTCTCTACTCCACAAATATTTCAGTAGTTTAATACATACTATATACCAGGCATATTCAAGGATTAAGGACATAAAACGGGATTCCCGAGTTTATAGTCTACTGACAAAAGTCTTCACTGTTGGATTAACTAAGTTTTTGAATGAGCCCTTAAATTGACCTCTGATGTATTTCTGGTTTACTTTTTCTTTAAGAGGGAGAGAGCAGGGGAGATGGACAGAGGGAGATAGAGAATCTCAAGCCGACTTCGCACTGAGTGAGGAGCTCAATGTGGAGCTCAGTCTCAGGATCCTGAGACAATGACCTGAGCCAAAATCGGAGTTAGATTATTAACCGACTGAGTCACCCAGGCGCCCCTCCCATTTATCTTTCATGGACAGCTGCATGAGTGTAGCCTTTAGAATCCTTTAGAACTCTGGGCAGGTAGACCAGTATGTATCTATGTGGAATTCTGAATGATCCTCAGAGTTCAGAAATGTTGGATAATCACTAAAAACCTCACTTGCAAAAAAAAAAAAAAAAGATGGTATTTTCTTTATAGTTTGGGCATTTAAAATCTAATTCCAATTTTGTGAAGCAGTATGTTTATACACATTGAAAAAATTATGGAGAGCTATATACTACACAGTGACTAGAAGAACCACTAGTATCCCTTCACCACAAGGTGAAGGGATAAGAGTGGATTCTTACTTTCTTTATATGCTCTTATCTCTTTTCCAAAATTTCTATGGTGAACATGTTTAGCATCTGCAATAAGAAAAATAAAGGTTATTTTTATAACATTACTTTCAATCTACCAACTAACTATGGAGCTCTTTCTCTTGCTGTTTAAATTACTGGAAATAAATCTACAGACCAAATCTATATTAAATTTGTCTGGTTCTCATGATAATTAAATCGTGCTTAAATGTAGGGCACAGAAAAATAAAGCAAAAATCCATTATTGTCTTTGGTTTTTGTAACACCTTTCCTTCTCCTGAACTTGTCCATTGTATTTCTTAGGCTGGCTACTATCTCTTCCATAACACTTTCCCAGGAGTTGGTATGAGAAAGAAGAAACACTATCTGAGTTTCCTCAGGACTAAAACTGCTTTGCACTTAATGAGCTTATTTCTCTGCAGTATTTTTCTGCAAAAAACAGGGTCCCTTAGATCACTGAGAGAACCCATAACAGAAAAATATACATTTACAAACTATAATCTATGAGAAGACGAACCACTTCTCAGAGAAAAAAAATAATAGCTAATATCTACATAGGCACCACTGTCACCCCTCGTGAGCATGAATGGTTCCCTTTCTCAGAGGCTTGGTCCCCTTGTCCTCCTCCCCCCTCCAGAGGGAATGATAATCAAGGGGCACACACACAGTGTTTTACCTAAATTACTGTATATTCAGACCTACATGATGTATATATTAGTGTTCCTATCCTAAGGGCAGAACAATATTTGGGGTCACTTAAGTGACTTGCCCAAGGATACACATTTATGGACCCAGGTTTTTCGGACTCCAGAGCCAATCAACCACACAAACCCAGTTCTGGCTAAGAACTGAGCAGGTCACGGGGTGCCTGGGTGGCTCAGTTGGTTGAGCTACTGCCTTCGGCTCAGGTCATGGTCCCGGAGTTCCAGGATCAAGTCCCACACTGGGCTCCCAGTTCCGTGGGGAGTCTGCTTTACCCTCTAACCTTCTCCCCTTTTGTGTTCTCTCTCACTCTCTCTCTCTCTCAAATAAATAAAATCTTTAAAAAAAGAAAAAGAACTGAGCGGGTCAGGTGAAGTTCACTTTCTTTCACGAGTGGCTCCCAGTTTAGGAAGAAATTTGGAATGAATCAGTAAATAGCTCTGAGCTTACTTAATTGCATTAAATGTAGTATTAACTCTAGATTATAAAAATTAACATATGGAGGGTGCCTGGGTGGCTCAGACAGTTAAACGTCTGCCTTTGGCTCAGATCATGATCCCAGAGTCCTGGGATTGAGCCCCACATCTGGCTCCCTGCTCAGTGGGGAGTCTGCTTCTCCTGCTGCCCATCCCCCCTCCTCATGCTTGCTCATGCTCTCTCTCTCTTGCAAAACTAAAAATAAAATCTTTTTAAAAATTAACATGCAGAAGTAGTGTCTGTCTTTAAATTGTTGTGTATCAACTATTTTTGGGTCATTTTGAGAAATCTCTAGGTACAGAGATTTTAAAATAAATTTAAAAATCTATTTAGCTCACATGTCAGAGGGAGAAGAAAGAGACCTTTTTAGAATCAGAAATAAGGCTTTTTCACAAGAAGAAAAAAAGCAAGATGCTCCAGAGGAAATGGATTAGAAGATTGGGTAACTAGGAACTCATTAGAACTTCACACAGAGCTAAAGGCTGAAGGAAGATCAGAGTAAGGGATATGGGAGCTTCCTTTGAAGTCCTCTAAATGGATTATTTTATTTACACTTGCCCCTTGAACAGCAATGGTTTGACCAGTGTGGGTCCATTTATGCACAGATTAATGATTTTCTTAACATTTTCTTTTCTCTAGCTGACTTTTTTGTAAGAATACCATATATAATACATATAACATACAAAATGTATGTCAATCGGCTGTTTATGTTATCAGCAGGGCTACTGGTCTACCTTAAACTACTAGTAGTTAAGGTTTTGAGAAGTCAAAGTCACATGCACAGATTTCCAAGTGCACTGGGGAGAGGATACATCACTGCCCCTCCTGCATTGTTCAAGGGTCAGGTGTTCTTCACCAGTGTCATTTCCATGGAAAGATAAAATTTACTGTATATGGTGTTCTAGGGTCTCTCTCAAGTAACTGTGACTGAAGAAACCCATCCAACACCCAGAAAGGCAGACCCAGGTCACGTGACACCACCATGTAGATATTTTGCATCCTGAAAAATTTTCAAGGCACTTTTTTTCTAGGAATAGCAACAAGTTTGGCTGAGTTCCCCAACCTTTTGCCCTGTTATTCTCAAGAGTAGTCACACAGAGGAGACAGCCAAGTGGGGCAGAGAATGCCATCTGCAGACACAAATGAGTATCTTTGCAGAAAACTGACCAACATATTCCTATGAGATCTGTTCGTTTGTGCTATTTCCTAATGAACTAAGCTACAGATAATCCTGATGTCAGTAATGGACTAGATCATGATTATCTGACAGGATAAAGAAAAACCAAGAAACTTTTATTTTTACCCTGGTAGTTTTTATAAAACAAAACAAAATATCAACAGTTTTACTGGTTTTAATAAGCAAGTCTGCAAACAGTTTCCATACAACCATGTCAGAATAAGCT